ATGTAGTAAGTGTCCCAGGAGTAGGTACTTAAACTGCCAGAGGCATCTGTTTTTTAAATTGTGTTATATTAATATGGATTCATAATAATTAATGTGATACTACTCTGTTATATTATGTTATATTAATTAAGATTGATTTTCCTTGTAATGTCACCTTTAGTTAACCTTGATTTTAAATGAATGTTTTTGTGACTCCTGAGGATACACACTAGAAGTTATTGTTTTACTTTAATAATATATGCAGAGAAAAGAAACCTAGAAGTTGCTGAGGAATAATCCTCCCCAGAAACACATCTCATTATTCTCTTTAAAGCCAATGAGGTCACTGAAATTGATGATCCTGTTGACTTCGTAGAGAATTCAGGTTGTGTGTCTAGAGGATACATGACAGGCTATGTAACAGATGCTATTTAAATAAAATCCAAAGCCATATGTACTTTAGTCTGCCTTATCTGGAAAACTAGCATCTTGGGAAATGGCAAAATACTTAATGTAAGCTGTTCTAGAGGGAGGGACTCCATATACAATCTCTATTCTCTGACCATTCATTCTACCGTAAAAAAACAAGTGAACCTGCATCAAGATACAAACGTTATGTGAATGAAAGTAAATTAGCCTATGTAATTCTCTCTTGATAGAATATCATAATACATTCTGGATATGGATCTGACATAATTTAACTATGTAGTTGATTATTTTACTCTATTGTTCTCTTAGCAATTGTCTACTTTCCAAGTTACAATAGATTCCATTTAGTTGCTAATCATTGTTCATAAAATGTTAGTATGCTTTTCTGAACAACTAATTTTTGTCTGTTTAATTGACTAAAGGGTATTTAGCTTTGTCCATACAAAAATAATTTTGACATTAAGTGTATACATAGCTCTGTATCTTAACTAGATGCTGAAGTATTCAGTTTTTTATTTCTTTCAAAATTAGAGATAAAACATTACTTTAACTTTGAAAACGATTTATCACTCTCAAAATTTAAAGGAGAAATAATTATTAATATATAGGGTTGTTATTAAATAAGTCGGTATGGATCCAGTGTGATGTTAACACTAAAGAATCCTGATTTTACATGGTAATCTTAGGCACTGGGTGATATTTACTATGTCATTCGAGTAACTAATTATAGAGTTTACTTCAGGGGCACCTGGGTGACTTAGTAGGTTGGGCATCTTACTTAGGCTCAGGTCATGAACTCTCGGTTCATGGGTTCAGGCCCCGTGTCTGACTCTGTGCTGACAGCTCAGAGACTGGAGCCTGCTTTGAGTTCTCGGTGTCCCTCTCTCTCTGCCCGTCCCCCACGCATGCTCTGACTCTCTCTCTCTCTCTCTCTCTCTTTCTCTCTCTCAAAAATAAATAAGCATTAAAAAAAATTTTGAGTTTACTTCATTTGAAAGGACAAAAACTTTTGCAAGGGCCTTGTTTCACATTTCCTATAATATCTATTCAAATGAACAAACATTTGATATTTTTACATTTTACATATATCTATTTTATAGAACTAATGAAGCAAAATAATTCATACAGTGTCGTCAATAGAGAAAACACTCTCTCTTTCTCTCTCTCTGTTTTGGTCTCTCTCTCTTTCAAAATAAATAAACATTTAAAGAGACCAAAAAGAAGTATGTTCACTATAACTACTCTATTTACAGAAAAGCAAATAAAAACATTTTAAAATTAAATTAGCTTTATTAAGTTTTTCAAACATAACCTTCATTTTATAGCATTTTTTTGTTTTGCAAATATATACTTTAATAATTTTGTGCATCATGCATTAGAACTACTAAGAATGACAATTTTCTTATTGTTGATATCATATATCTCTATGCTCATTATTATTTCAGTTATTAGTAAATACAAACTACATCTCATTGGCATAAAAATTCCAAAATTGGTTTTTGTCTGTACTTTGTTTAGAACTCTCACTTTTAAGTGCACTCATGTGTCTTGTATTTGTTAATGGCATCACAGATATTGTGGTTCAGTATATTTTGGATGCTAATGAGGGCATAGCTTTGAAAAGCACAGTGATGTGTTTACAATCCAAATGATGCTCCACATTCATTATTATGTCTTCATTTTTCTCAGAACCACTATGTACTTACATACATATCATACTCATGATTTTTTTTCTTTTTTAAAACAAAATAATTTCTTCATTACACACTGAAGCAAACACCAATTCCTGTTAACAATACTCTCAGAACCTACACTGAAACAGTGTAATTCTTCCTATCTCCATGACTACCACTCTAGTATGATGCTCTGCCTTCTCTTGCTTGAACTTCTGAAATGTTGCCTTGCTTCCATTCTTGTCTCCTTACCCATTTTTCATCAGACACAGTCGTCTTTGTAAACTAGAATAATACCAGGATACTTCTCTGCTTCTCTTTTCACAGAATATAACTCACTTCCTGCCAGTTTTCTTTCATCTCATACTACTGTCCTGAGTGTTCATTTTACACCAATTCACAGAGCACTCCCGTTCTTTGAACTGGCCAAGTGTGCGTGGACTGCTCACTGTTCCTTGTGGCTGGAAACTAGTGCTTGTGAAGCATGTGTGGCCCTCCTTTTGTCATTGAATTCCCATTTATCATCTACTAACCTCTACCCTCACCTCACCTACTCAGCCTTCACTTGCTACCATCTGTGATTATCTTTTTGATATTGTGGGTTTTTTGTTTGTTTGTTTATCTCTTACCACTGAAGCAGAGTCTTCTTTAAAGCTGTATCTCTGGCACCTTGAACAGTAGCCATTCGTGTAGTATGTTCTTTCGAATAATGTGTCATAAAAATGCTTCCCCACTAATGAGGCTCTTCTGAGACCCTGCTGAGTGGGAATACAATAGAAGACTACTAGGAAAATTAATTTAGATAAAATTCAAAGTTACAACATTAATCTGAATGTTCTTCAGCCATCAAGCAGGAACTTTAGAGACTAACAAGCTGGACAGAAGCAGCACCAGATGTCTTAATCTAGAAATTTACCCTTTCTCAAAATGGAGTTCAGAGCATCACACTGAAGGGACATAAAGTTAAAACAAACAAGTAAGACAACCACAGAATACTGTATAACATTCTCCCTGAACAGGCTTGAATTATTTTAGAATTATTTCACTCTATCCATCCTGTGGCTCAGCTCAGAAAATATGGTGTCTTCCTTGACACCTCCTTTTCTCTCACAGCCTGTGTCTGGCCTTCAGTGTGTCTTGGACTGTGCATCTTCAAAATCTGTTCAAAATCCATGTACTCCTCGGTATCTCCACTGGTCAGCTCCTGGTCTCCACCGCCATCTCTCACCTAAAGTTTTGCAAGAGTTTCCAGTGGCTCTCCCTGCTTCATCTCTTGCTCTGCTTCAATATATTTTTGACACAATGCTGAATCATTTACTTAAAAAGTGTAAGTCAAGTGTTACTTAGCTCATGATGCTCTAGTTCATCCCCCTTCACTTGGAGCAAACTAACCTCCTTACAGTGACCAAAATCTTTGATTTTCTGCCACCCTTCTGGCCTCATCTCCAGCAGTGGCCACCACACCATTCTTGGTATTTGCCAAGCCTGTCTCCAACTTCAAGGCCTTTCACTTGTCATTCTCCTGCCTGGAACGCTCCCTGCCCCCACTCCATTTCCACCTGGTTTGCTTCCTCATTTTTTTTTTTTTTTTTTTTTGTTATACAGTGAAATTTGCCATCAAATAGTCAATGTAAATATGTATTAGAAAATACTGGAAACCTTGTTTTAGATGTGAGGTCTAGCTTAGAATAGAAGACAATGCATTCTTGAGCAGAATATTTAAGTTGAAAAGCCAACTCTAACATTCTAAATTTTCTCTAATGTTTTCTAAATCATAGCTTCCTTCTCTGTAAAATAGGTATAAACACCCATCTCTTTGGGTTGCTTAGAGCATTAAATAAGATACTGGGAAATGCTTGCCTGGTTCAGAGTAAATAAACGCTCAGTTAATACCATTATTATTATTTCAGTGTGATACCTGCCTCACATTTGTAATTATTGAGACATACCCACAAGCGAGCTAAAAATATAATCTGTATATTATTTTTCCACTGGAAAGCATGTCTTAATTTTTTGTATGCTGTTAAATAGCCTTAAAATAGAAAAAAAATAACTATGAGTACTATATATGTATGATATATAATAGACACCATAATTTTACTACTTCTCCTACTACATCATTGCGAATGTTTAGCCTTTAGCTCTCTTTTATTACTGCATTGCACTAAACACTAACCTACATATTATATTCTCTTTTATGTATTAAGATTTTTTTCACTTAAATATATGGACTCATGGATGCAAGATTGTTGATGGAAGTATCCATTTGTTATTAGACCCAAGAAAAATAAACAAAATAATGTCCAAGTTACTTCTTTAAATTATATAATTGTTAAATATTTGTATTAAAAAGCTATTCACTCACATTGCCTTTTATAACTAGAAAGAATTAAGCATACCATAAGAAAGCAATAGAACATAAGAAACTGTAATTAAACCCTTTCTTTAAAAACTAGGGAATAACTTTGTGTTTGCTGAATTGGTGTTTATAGATAAAGAATAACATAAGGACATTGTTCGGAAGCAACATGTGTGCACACCATAATGTGCCCCTAAAAGTAATGATAGCAAGAAAGAAATTGAATTTTTAATTTCAGTTTGCACCTGTTTGGTCATTTGGCAAAGCTGCCTTTGTTGCTCAGGAGGCAAAGTGACGGACTGATCTAAGTACTCCCCCGTTAATATTCTGCAGAGAAGAACTTCTCACTTGTCACCGTGGTGGATGAATACTGTATTACTGAGAATTAAATGACCCCAGTGTGGTGAAATCTAGCTATAAAGACAGGAGACATTAATTAATTTATTTCTTATTTAATATAAGACTGTTTCTTATATTATTTTACTCAACTGAATAGATCTGTAATAAGTTGAACTATATATAAAAAAGCCATACTAATTATTCTCTTCTCTAAATTTCAGTATAAAGAACGTCACTCCAAAAGTAGGAGACCCTGAAACCCGGAAAGCTATTCGCCGTGCCTTTGATGTGTGGCAGAATGTGACTCCTCTGACATTTGAAGAAGTTCCTTACAGTGAATTAGAAAATGGCAAACGCGATGTGGATATAACCATCATTTTCGCATCTGGTTTTCATGGAGACAGTTCTCCCTTCGATGGAGAGGGAGGGTTTTTGGCACATGCTTACTTCCCTGGACCAGGAATTGGGGGAGATACTCATTTTGACTCAGATGAGCCATGGACTCTAGGAAATCCTAATCATGATGGTAAGTGCATTGCTTTTTTTATTGCAAATAGTTCTCTTTTTATTTTTGTTTTTGGAATGCCCAAGTGATTGACTGGTTGACAGACTTTTTTAAATATTTATTTATTTTGAGAGAGAGTGCAAGCAGGGGGAGAGTTGAAGAGAGAAGAGAGAGAGAATCCCAAGCAGGCTGTGCACTGTCGACACAGAGCCTGTCACCAGGCATGACCTCAGGAACGTGAGATAATGACCTGAGCCAAAATTGAGAGTAGGTAGCTTAACCAACTGAGCCACCCAGGTGCCCAATTTAACAAATTTTTAAGGTGTCGATTCTAAATTTACTTTTAAAAATATAAAACACTATGTGAGGCTTTTTAATAACATTTTAGAAGAAGAATTTGTATGGGTCATTAGACAATACTAGTTTTTCATGTGGTCTGTTGCTTGGAGATTAGAACTTTACACTGTGTTCTGTAAATAAACTGAATTTTGTGTTCTCTAAAATGTCACTGAAAAGCTTAAGGAAATTCTGCTATTTTTTCTACACTTTATTCCACTGTTTCCACTTGAAACTCAACCTAATTGGCATTTGTGGCATAGCTTTTGACATCTTTTCTATTTTCTTTCCTAGTTCACCTTTTGAGTTTGTAAAATGTTGCTCCTTTTCTTTCATCTTTATTTCCTTACATGGTCTCCCAATATGATATAACAAAATAATTTATTATTTTTATATTATGTCTTTATTTTTATCAAAACCACTTTTTGCAAATCTATTCCAACAAGTCTATCAGTTTTCTAATTTTTATAATTATTCGGATAAGCAAAAATAAATTGAAAATAACTTGATAACTAAAAGAAAAGCTACTTCATATAAGAAGTATGTGTTTCTTCCTTAACACACTCCATACTTTAATTTTATGTTTAAAAAATATTCACATAATTATAGAATCCTAGAGTTACAAGATTCATAAGCAGCCATCTCTTGGAATTCTTTTAATCAAAACTTAAATATTTGTCTTTCTCACAGTAGTAGAATGCTGTTGAAAATACAGCACACAGGGGCACCTGGGTGGCTCAGTTGGTTGAGCACCGACTTGGGCTCAGTTCATGATCTCATGGTTTGTGAGTTTAAGCCCCGCATCGGGCTCTGTGCTGACAGCTCAGAGCCTGGAGCCTACTTTGGGTTCTGTGTCTTCCTTTCTCTCTCTGCCCCTCTCCTGTTCATGCTCAAGCTCAAACTCACTCTGTTTCTCTCTCTCTCTCAAAATAAAATTAAAAACATAAAAATGTAAAAAAGATACAGCATGCCTTGTTTTAATGGCAACTAATCAGCTAATAAAACTCTGAATTCCTCCTTGATGAGTTAAGCCCAGCCATCAAATTAAACTTTGTTAGTTCACCAGGAAGTTTAGTTAGCTGAATTAGTATAATAGCCTTGCATCATGAGAACCTGCAGGATTCAAACATATTATGGATAGCATGAATTAAGGTGAGTTAATATAAAATAACATCAATTTTCACAGAAAGAAAATATAATAACCGTTCCTGTTTTCCAAAAGAAAATAAAATATTTAGTATTACACAAAATGACCTTTGACATTGTTATTAATAGGTATATTGACTATATTAAATTATTACTTCATTTTTAAGAACTGATTTGGAGATGAATGGCGAGTTTGTTGTGAGATTTAACTGTATAGAAGTAGAATGAGCAGACCTGCATCCAATTCCTGGCTAACTGATCACTGGCTCAAGAAGCTTCTAACATTGCTATATGCCTATTTTCACTCTGTATGTTGTATTTCAGGGCTGAGATATTGCAAGTAGAGGTGCTTTCTTTTCATGCATGTTTAGTCTATACCTGAGCACCCAATAATGAAATATCGGTAATGTGATAGTAGGCCCACCCTGGTTTGATACATAAATCATTTAAAATTAAATATCTTTATCTTATTTTTATCAAAATTACACAGGCATTCTAATGAAGTAGTTCAGGCATCATCCAGTCAATTGTTAATATACATGCTTGTACTCCAAATGAATGAGAATAGCACATATAATGGTAGAATTTTGCTGATGGAGACAAAACTGCATTTACTTCCAGAGAAAGACTTCTAAAATTCTAAACAGAGAAAATTATATTTTATTCCAATAATTATAATTCCAATGTCATATTTTATTCTAATAATAGATATAATTGTTAAGGCTACTTTGAATCTAGCTAGCTTTGAAGTCATGTTAATTTGGGGGATGGTGCCATCAAATGGCCTATTTTTCTCTTAAAATATTGAAATCCTCAAGAAAACTACACAGATTTTTTAAATGTCTCCTCTATTAGCTGGAATTTTTTAGGCATCAACAAATACTTTTTGAAAAGAAGCAAAAAGCCAAAATCCTAGAAGATTCCATACAAGGTAGATGGAAATAGAGCAATAAAGCTAAGCAAAATAAGTAAGGCAACAACCTTTTTGACCTTGGATGCAGCAACTTCTCACTTGACATGTCTCTGGAGACAAGGGAAACAAACGCAAAAAAATGAACTATGGGGACCTCATCAAGATTAAAAAAAAAAAAAACCTTCTGTATAGCAAATGAAAAAATCAAGAAGACTAAAAGGCAACAAACAGAATGGGAGAAATATTTGCAAATGACATATCTGATAAAGGGTTAGTATCCAAAATCTATGAAGAACTTATCAAACTCAACACCCAAACAAATAATCTAGTGAAGAAAAGACAAAAGGAGTGAATAGACATCTTTCCAAAGAATACATCCAGATGGCTAACAGACACATGAAACGATGCTCATCACTCATCATCAGGGAAATACAAATCAAAACCACAATAAGATACCACCTCATACCTGTCAGAATGGCTAAAACAACAGATATTGGTGAGGATGCAGAGAAAGGAGAAATCTTTTGCACTGCTGGTGGGAATGCAAACTGGTACAGCCACTCTGGAAAAGAGTATGGAGGTTCCTCAAAAAATTAGAAAAAGAACTACCTTACAACCCAGCAATTGCACTACTAGGTATTCATCCAAAGGATACAAGAGTGCTGATTCAAAAGGGCACATGCACTCCAATGTTTATAGCAGCACTATCAACAATAGCTAAATTATGGAGAGACCAAATGTACCTCAGCGGGTGAATAGGTGGTATATGCATACAATAGAAAATTACTTGGCGATCAAAAAAGAATGAAATCTTCCCATTTGCAACAACATAGATGGAACTCGAGTGTATGATGCTAAGAAAAATAAGTCAGAGAAAGACAAATATATGATTTCACTCGTGTGGAATTGAAGAAACAAAATAGATGAACATAGGGGAAGGGAAGCAAAAATAAGATAAAAACAGAGAGGGAGATGAACCGTAAGAGACTCTTAAATACAGAGAAAAAACTGAGAGTTACTGGTGGGCTGTTGGGTAGGGAGATGGGTTAAATGGATCATGGGCGTTAAGGAGGCACCCATTGGGGTGAGCACTGAGTGCTATATGTAAGTGATGAATCACTAAATTCTATTCTCTTTTTAATGTTTTTTATTTATTTCAGAGAGAGAGAGAGAGACAGGGGAGGGTCAGAGAGAGAGGGAGGGAGATACAGAATCTGAAGTAGGCTCCAGGTTCTGAGCTAGTGGTCAGCACAGAGCCTGACGCGGGGCTCGAACACATGAGCCATGAGATCATGACCTGAGCTGAAGTCGGAATTTAACCGATGGAGCTACCCAGTCACCTCACTAAATTCAATTCTTGAAATCATTATCACACTATATATTAACTAACTGGGATTTAAATAAAAAATAAATTAAAAATAATAATAAAAAAGAAAATAAGCAAAAAGATTTTAAGAAAACATCTATAGGGACATTTGAGATGACATAGGAAATGGGAATGTTTACTCTGATTTAAATGTGATCTTTGTTATGATGCTTCTGTGTTTTGCATGACATAGAGATTTTCCAAGGAATATATATGTGGAAAAGAATTGAAATAGAACATAGGAGCTAATACATCGGAGTCTATAAACATCAATAGACTTTTGACTCAGATTATATCCTCTTGTCCTTATGACTCAGATTGATTGCCTCTTAATTTATATTGCAGAAGTATAATAATTTTTGTACATAAATATACTTTTTAAATGATTATTTAATATTCAATGTTTCATTCGGAAGAAAAGATTTCTTTACTGGTCAAATAAACATTATTTTTCTTTTGAGTGAGTTTAAAGAAAATGACTACAAAATAACAATGTTTCAAAATTGTAGGGGATTAGGGAGAAGTTAACTGCCTGTTTAAGATGTAATACCATACAGATTTACTGCTTAATTGAAATTCAGACTTTTAACCAGCAACAGCAGGACAGCTAGGGTAGTGTCATGCTCAAGTATTGATCATTTATCAAAAGAACAGCCTCTAGCTTTGCTGTGGAACTGGTGAATGCGGGGAGAATTAATGCATGTGTACGTCCTAGATCCTAGCCGTCTGTAAGATTATCTTTTTGTATCAAATATATACAAGGCACAATTCTGACATCTTCATTGATAAACTTTTTCTTTTCTTTACTCTAGCCCTCAAATGCCCCCAAGCTTACTTAACTGAAAAATTGTCTTTCTTTCCTATTCACAGTTCTTAAGCACCTAGAAAACAGAGCAGCTTGGTAATTTAGCAAAAATGCAAATGAAAGAGCCTCTTGATAAGTACCCAGCTCATTTTCCTCAGCATATTGCTCAGCTAATGAAGGCAATTTGAATTCCGTCTATCTCAAAAGAGATAAACAGTGTCTTAAGCTGCCAGTAACCTTTAATTCATTGTTATGCACTTTCCTATCAATTTGCTTATAGTCATGATACCTTTCAAAAACTCAAGCTAAAGCCCATTAAGTAAATTACACAATATTTATAAATGAATGAATAAATAAATAAATAAATAAAATCCCCCTCACACCCCTACCTAATAAAAATAATGCCAGCTTTTCCCCCCATGGAATGCCTAAGCAAAACATGTTCTAGTAATTCT